CGTCAGAGTTGACATTTTGACGCGTCAGAGAACCTTTTGCCGCGTCAGTGAATGCACCCCTCGGCAAATTTACACGTGGCCTAGTGGGGGGTATTGTTGGTTTCAGACGAAATTGTCAAACTGTTATATTATTGTGTAGGCTGTAGTGGGGTAGGGTAGCCCATATGGGGTACAACCCAAATTAGGGTTAGCACTTGTATCACTTCCTTTTCTCGATGCAACCATTCCTATTTGTTCGTTTCTAACATGGTTTCAGAGCAGTAGGTCCTTAGGACCGGTTTTTTTTTTTCGGGCCGACCATTAGCTAGTGACCGACTGTGGTTACCGCGCTACCCCACGCCCTGAACTGCGTCGCGCCGCCAGCGCGCGCCCTGCCCTGCCCTGCGTTGCGCCGCCCCGCGCACGCCCTGCCCTGCGTCGCGCCGCCCGCGCACGCCCTGCCCTGCCCTGCCTGCGCGCCGCTCGCCGCCGCGCCGCCCTGCCCTGCCCGCGCGCCGCGCGCCGTCGCGCCGCCCTGCCCTGCCCGCGTGCCGCTCGCCGCTGCGCCGCCCTGCCCTGCCCGCGCGCCGCTCGCCGCCGCGCCGCCCTGCCCTGCCAGCGCGCCGCTCGCCGCCGCGCCGCCCTGCCCTGCCCGCGCGCCGCTCGCCGCGGCGCCGCCCTGCCCTGCCAGCGCGCCGCCCTGCTGGCCGCCGCCCTGCCCTGCCCTGCCTGCGCGCCCCCCTGCTGGCCGTCGCCCTGCCCTGCCCTGCTGGCCGCCGCCCTGCCCTGCCAGTTGCGTCGCCCTGCCCTAGCCGTGCGCCGCGCCGCCCTGCCCGTCGCGCTGTTCTTGCTTGCGTGCTGCCCTACTGCAAGCGCGCCACCCTGCTCTGCCCGCTATGGCTACTCTCAGCGTCCTCACGTTTGATCCTGAGGGCCGTCCGATCGAGTTCGATGCGTGGCTAGATGACCTGCAGCTGTACCTACTCAGCGATTCTAGAGACGGTGTTTCGTTGTTTGACCTCACGTATGGAGCCTCTCTCGCCCCTCCCGACACAGCTGACAGTGCGACTCACTTACAGTGGCTTACCCGTGACGCTGCTGCTCGCCTAGCCGTTCGCAACCACTTGCCGTTAGCCGAACGCGCCCACTTTGGCCAGCGCAAGACTGCTAGAGCCCTGTACGACGCTGTAGTCGCTCGTTACTCCTCCCCTGCCACTGCTGCTCTAGGCCGCCTTATACTTCCCTACCTGTTTCCCGAGCTGTCCGCAATTGCCACAGTTGCCCACCTCGTCACTCACCTTCGCACTAGTGACACTCGCTACCGCGCCGCGCTTCCCGCCGAGTTTCTAGCCAAGAACCCCCCTCCCATGTATGTCGCTCTCTACTTCATCGTCACCCGCCTCCCTGACTCTCTTAGTGTAGTCAGGGACCTCCTTCTCGCCCTTGACCCCACAGACCTCACTGTCGACCTGCTCGAGAAGCACCTCCTTGTAGCTGAGACCAGCATAGTCGGTGTAGGCGCTTCTCGTGGCACTCCTCGCACTCCCTTCTTTGAGGGGTGTTCCCCCTCCCCCCTTGTCCCCTCAGTCGCTTCTGCTGCTGATGTTGACTTCCTTCGTGCTAAGGAGGTCGGAGCTGCGTCTGCTCCTGGTGGGAGGCGGCGCAGCGGCAGGGGCAAGGGAGGCAGGGGTAGTGGGGGTGGCAGCGGTGAAGGCGGTGGTGGGGGCGGTGGAGGCGGTGATGGTGGCGGTGGTGGCAGAGGGAGTGGCGGTGGGGGTGGAGTCGTTGGTGGCAGTGGTAGTGGCGGCAGTGGGAGTGGTGGCGGCGGCAGTGTTGGCGGCAGTGGGAGTGGTGGCGGAGGCGGTGGTGGCGGTCGGGGTGGAGCCGGTCAGAGGGGCGTTTCTGGCTGTGGTCAGAGGCAGCAGCAGCAGCGTCAGCGTGAGACCCCTACGCCCCGAGCTTCGTAAATGGTTTGCTTAGCGTGGGGCGTCTGGGGGTAGTGTTCGCTGCCAGTACGTCATCCGCACAGGTGACCGCTCTGGTCAGACATGCGGGAAAGTTGGTCACACCCAGTCCCGCTGCTTCTCCCGTCTTGACGACGCCTGGCGCACAGAGTTTCCCGACGCGACTGAGCTTCCCCGCTAGCTAGAGCTGCTTAGTCAGGGTGTGGATATCTTTGCTCTTGACTATGATGCTATCCTTGCTGCCATGTATGCATTGACTGTTAGTGCTGAGGGTGACTGTTACCTGTGTGTGCCGCCCGACCCAGGTATAGAGGCTGCTGCTCTAGGTGCTAGTGAGTCTGCTCTCCCTGGTACTGCGCCTGCTGAGGCCTTGCACACCTTCACGCTTGACTCAGGTGCTTCCCGCTGTTTCTTTCGCGACAGTACCACACTCACACCACTCCCTGGACCTGTTGCAGTCAGCCTGGCTGACCCCTCAGGGGGCCCAGTCCTTGCACGTTCCACCACTGTTCTCCCGTGTCCGGCGGTTCCGTCTGGCTCACTGTCAGGTCTCCACCTCCCCACGTTCTCGACGAACTTGGTGAGCAACGCCGCTCTTCAGGATGGGTTGACACCTTTACTCCAGGAGGGCAGCGTGTTGCGATCTGAACGTGTACACGGACGGGCCGTCACCTGGCCACGTTCACCCGTCGGCCTGGGTCGAGTCTGTACACACTGACTACTGGGCCTCCTCAGGTAGTTGCGTCTGGTCAGCTAGCAGCCCCCTGCTCGTGTCGCGCCCTGTCGCACCAGACGCTCCTTTGGCACCACTGCCTTGGTCACCCCTCCGTGCCACGCCTCCGTGGCATGCACTCCCGTCTCCTTGTCTCTGGTCTTCCCAGGTCTCTGCCTCCCCTCCCACCCTCGCCTGTCCCTCCCTGCCTTCCCTGTGTCGAGGGGCGGCAGCACGCTGCTCCTCACTCCTCCTCGTTTCCCCCGACGACTGCTCCCCTGCAGACTCTCCACATGGACGTGTGGGGCCCAGCCCGCGTCCGTGGACAGGGCCGCGAGCGATACTTTCTGCTGGTTGTTGACGACTACACGCGTTACACCACGGTCTTCCCCTTGCGCAGCAAGGGGGAGGTCCCTGATGTTTTGATCCCTTGGATCCGCGCTGTCTGTCTCCAGCTCCGCGAGCGGTTCCGTGAGGACCTTCCTGTCCTGCGTCTGCACTCGGACAGAGGTGATGAGTTTTCCTCCGACCTCTTGCGGGACTTTTGTCGTGGGGAGGGCATTCGCAAGTCGTTCACGCTTCCGGCCTCTCCGCAGCAGAATGGGGTTGCTGAGCGCCGCATTGGCTTAGTCATGGAGGTCGCTCGTACCTCCATGATTCATGCGGCTGCTCCCCATTTTCTGTGGCCGTTTGCGGTCCGTTACGCTGCGCATCAGCTCAACCTCTGGCCCCGTGTCTCCTTGCCGGAGACCATGCCGACACTGCGTTGGACGGGGGAGGTTGGCGATGCGTCGGTGTTTCGGGTCTGGGGCTCTCGTGCCTTTGTCCGCGATTATTCCGCGGACAAGCTCTCCTCCCGCGCCATTCCCTGCGTCTTCCTTGGCTTTCCCCCTGACGCGCCTGGCTAGCAGTTTTACCACCCCACCTCGCGCCGTGTCTTGTCCTCTCAGGACGTAACGTTTGACGAGTCGGTTCCCTTTTACCGTCTCTTCTCCTACCGCACTGCCCCTCTCCCCCCCCCGCCGCTCTTCCTCGCACCAGGCCCTCCTCCAGTAGACCCCCTCCCCCCTCAGGGTCCTGCTCCCTCAGGTGTGTCTCAGGTAGACCCTGTCGAGCCTGTCGAGGTCGCTGTCGACTCTGGTGCTGCTGGGGGTGGTGCTGCTAGGGGTGCTGCGTCTGGGGGTGCCGAGCCTGAGCGTGCGGAGCCTGGGGGTGCTGAGCCTGAGCGTGCGGAGCCTGGGGGTGCTGAGCCTGGGGTTGCTGAGTCTGAGGGTGCGGAGCCTGGGGGTGCTGAGCCTGAGCGTGCGGAGCCTGGGGGTGCTGAGCCTGGGGGTGCTGAGCCTGAGCGTGCTGAGCCTGGAGGTACTTTGTCTACTGGAGGTCCTACGGGTGCCTCGTCACGGCGGGAGCCTCTCTCTCCACCGCAGCTGCGCGAGTGGTTTGCTCAGCGCTGGAGCCTTCAGAGTGGCGCTGCTGGAGCTGGGGGGCCTGCCGCTGGAGGCCCTGGAGCTGGAGGCACTGGAGCTGCTGTTCCTGGAGGTGCTGGAGCTGCTGGTCCCGCAGGTGCTCGTATTGGAGGTACTGGAGCTGCTGGAGCCGGTGTTCCTGCAGGCGCTGGAGCTGGAGACCCTGGAGCCGGAGGAGCTGGAGCTGGAGGTACCGGAGGTGCTGGAGCTGCTGGTCCCGGAGGTGCTCGTACTGGAGGTACTGGAGCTGCTGGAGCTGGAGGTGCTGCAGGCGTTGGAGCTGGAGGTGCTGGAGCTGGAGGTAGCGGAGGTGCTGGAGCTGCTGGTCCTGGAGGTGTTGGAGGTGCTGGAGCCGCTGGTCCCGGAGGTGCTCGTACTGGAGGTACTGGAGCTGCTGGAGCTGGTGGTGCTGCAGGCGTTGGAGCTGGAGACCCTGGAGCTGGAGCTGGAGGTGCTGGCCCTGGGGGTGCTGGTGCTGTCGGTGCTGGTTCTGGAGGCACTGTGCGGCCGCGACCGTACTTCGTTCCACTGCTTCAGCAGGTTCTTGGTCTCCCGTCTTCTACTGGCCTTACTCCTCCCTTACTTTGTCCACCGCCTGACCAGTCGCAGCCGCAGTTACAGCCAGACTCCCCACTGCCTGCTCCTTCTTCTTACACTGAGCAGACAGACTCTCGAGGTCGACGTGGAGCATCTGGCGCGATCGTCGGCACGTGGCCGACTTGGCATCTACGCGACGGGCGGGACGAGGCACAACGTGCTTGACCGCCTACAAGAACCTGCAAGGCGGGTGCGCGTGTGCGCTATAGTCATCCTAAACCCTTCCCTATTACTCTTCCATACTCCCCTGCCATCTTGTCCTTTCCAGAGACACCCTTCCAGATGACATGTGGCACAGCTGGCAGCAGCTGTGAGATCCAGCAGAGCGCCTCCTCCTTCTTCTGCAAGAACCTCTGCTTTGACTACTGTGCCTCGTGCACCCCACTCAATGGTGAACAGTGAATGATTTCTCATGGCTGTGCACGCTTGCGTGTCTCTCACTGCAAGTGGAATGGCTCCTCGTGTGCCTTTGTGCTATCTCGAAATATTTATTCCATTCGTCAATATTCATGCCATTCGTCAATATTCATGCCATTCGTCAATATTCATGTCATTCGTCAATATGATGCCATTCGTCAATATTCATGCCATCTGACAGCGTGCATTGACATCACATCCCGCCAGCACAACAGATTCTTCTGCCTCAACAATTCCTCCACTCCACACCCCACTTCCCTCCCCACCTCTCTCCCCATCTCTCTCCCCACAGGCCAACTCCGCCACCCTTCTCCCCCTCGTCCCCTCTCACCTCCTCTCCCTCCCAGCCTCGCGCTCATGAGTCCCCCGCCTCCTCCTCTGTCCTCTCTTCTTGCCTTCTCCTCACCACTCGCCCCTCCTCCCGCTCCCCCACCCTCCACCGGGTCGCCAACCTTCGCAATAGTGGGAATATCCGTAGCCGTGTTGTGTCTGCTTGTGGCTGCTGCTACTGCTGCTGTCGTGGCTGCTGGGTGTGTGAGATGGGGGAGCCCAGGGGTCGAAACTACAGCCACTAGCTGCCTCTGGTAAGAGCAAGTTGAGTAGCGAGCAACAACGTTAAGAGGTATGTGGCATGGCTGGCTCTAAGAGGCACGTGGCATGCTGTTGCTCAGCTGCTGCCGCCACTGCTGCCCGTGCTGCTGCTGTTAACACTGTAATCATAGTTCCTTCGTCGATGCGTGTCACTGCAGTAATCATTCGCCCCACGCATTGCTGCTCTTGCGGCCACTGTTGGAGCATCTTCGCTCACCATCATCTCACCATCATCTCACCATCACCTCACCATCATCTCACCATCATCTCACAATCATCTCACCATCATCTCACCATCAGCTCACCATCATCTCACCATCATCTCACCATCATCTCACCATCACCTCACCATCATCTCACCATCATCTCATCATCATCTCACCATCAATTTTCCCACTCGATTTCCCTCGTCCTCTCACCCGGCTCTCCCTTCCCTCTCGTCCCCCCTTCCTTCCCCACTTCAGCATCCCACGTCTTCAGTCGCTCCCGCTGTCCACAGTTCCCCATGTCCCTCGTGGCACAGGCAACGGATGGGTGGAGTGACGCTACCAGGGTGGAGAAGCAGGGGTGGAGCAGTAGGAGCGGTGGGGGGCGGAGGTACAAGGCAGTGAGTCCAGTGGATGCGCGGCATGAGTGGTTCGTTATGAGGCGCGGCAACGACGAGCTTTCCACAAGATTTCAGAAAGAGGTGAGGGATTTGTGAACAGTTCCAAATCCACGGCACGCGCGGTGCTGTGATGTGCCCCTTTTCACTTGCCATTGTTTCCCCCCCTCCTTTTGGCTGCTTCCTTCCCTGCCCAGGTGGCCACGCTTTGGTCCATCCGCCATACCAACCTGCAGCGACTCCTGCGGTATTGCTGGGAGAAGCGTGGCACTGCCCTTGGCCGTCACTCGCCTGCTGCTGCTGTCGCTGCTGCTGCTGCTGGGGCTGCTGCTGCTGCTGCTGCTGGGGCTGCTGCTGCTGCTGCTGCTGCTGCTGCTGCTGCTGGTTGTGTTAGTGCTAGTGCTGCTGCCGATACTGCAAAGAGTGTTAGTGCTGATAGTGCTAAGAGTGCTAGTGCTGATAGTGCTAAGAGCACACGTGCTGATGCTGTTGCTGCTGCTGCTGCTGCTGCCAGTCATGCGGTGGAGCAAGCAGAGGAGCAGGTGCTGGTGTTCGAGTGGGTAACAGGAGGCAATCTGCACAGTCGCCTCGTTGCAGGTACTGTTAATGTTAGCCCTCAATCTCACATTTTGAACCTTTTATATCCTAGTTTAGTGTAGTTTGCACTTTGTGTTTGGTTGGGTGTACACCACATCCCAACCAAACCCAAATGTGATCTCCAAGCAATCTCCAACCCACCAATTGGAGATTGCCTTGGGATTACCCCCAATCCCTAGAGATTGCCCCCAATCCCCTTCACCATCCTTTCCTTGCCTATCTTGGATGTACTTAAAGAGCTTCAAGCTCACTACTAATGCATGGATTCTAAGCTCAAGTTCTGACAGGTACATCCACGCCCGCTCCTCGTTGCAGGTACACTCACCCCTTCCCCCTGCCCCGCCACCCCACTCTCGCCATGCCCATCCCTCCCTTTATGCCTGTGCATCTTTGCTTGCTTGTTCCCCTCTGTATGTTCCCTCTGTTCCTTATGTCCCCTCTCCCCCTCTCTCCATCTACTCCCCTCTGCCCCCCTCCTCCTCCCGCTATGCAAAGGGCTGCGTGCCTCTGTCCATGTGGCACTGCCTGGATGTGACCACGGGTGTGCTGCGGGGGCTGAAGCACATCCAGAGCCATGGGGTCGTGCATGGCCGCATACACCCACGCAAAATCCTGCTCGACACCGCCGTGCAAGTGCAGTGACACGAAGGTGCAGTGACACGTAGGTGCAGTGACGCGTAGGTGCAGTGACAAGCAGGTGCAGTGACGCGTAGGTGCAGTGACACGTAGGTGCAGTGACGACGCGTAGGTGCAGTGACACGTAGGTGCAGTGACGCGTATGTGCAGTGACGCGTAGGTGCAGTGACACGTAGGTGCAGTGACAGGTAGGTGCAGTGACACGTAGGTGCAGTGACAGGTAGGTGCAGTGACACGTAGGTGCAGTCACGCGTAGGTGCAGTAACACGTAGGTGCAGTGACGCGTATGTGGAGTGACACGTAGGTGCAGTGACGCGTAGGTGCAGTGACACGTAGGTGCAGTGACGCGTAGGTGCACTGACACATAGGTGCAGTGGCACTCAGCGGTTCTGCCACGCACGCTCCTTCCCCCCATACTCCCAACTCCGCCCTCCTCAACCCATCAACCATCAGCTGCGTCTCTCCCTTGCCCGCTGCATTCACGCCACTTAAAGCCCCTCGCGTCCCCACTACCCCACGCCCATGCCTTTCCCGCAGCCTGTCTTGGCTGGCTGCATGGCTGTGAAAATGGGCGACCCCCTCCCATCTATTTCTACAGCAGCAGCAGCACCACCACCAGCACTGCCACCACCATGAACAGCAGCAGCAGCAGTGTCGCCAGTGCCAGCAGCATCGGCAAGTGCATGGGTGGCATCAGCAGAGAGTGGCACAGAGCCACCAGCCAACAACGCGTACATGGACCCAATCCTGCATGCCTCTGCTCGCACCACGCCCTCTACAGATGTTTTCAGGTCCGTGCTGCTCAACTCTTGAGACGTCTCAACAATCTTGCTGCTCAGCTCCACCCCTACTACTCACGATTCTAAATCCACTCAAACAAGCCCTTGCAACAGTATTTCATGCAACTCTTTCTACTGATGCGCCTCTACCTCTGTCCCTGTCCCTTCTCCCCGTCCCCTCTCCCACCTCCTTCTCTCCTATAGCTTACCGCATGCTGTCTGATTGAGCCACTCAGAAGTAGGAACCATTTATTCTGCTGCTGGTCGCATGTGCTTTCGCCGTGACTAACGATCAACTCATTCGATACGCCTCTCCCTTCTCTTCTCTCGCCCCTTCTTCATTTTTCACTCTCCCACATCCCCCCATCCCGGCCTGCCAGCATTGGAGTGGTGATACAGCAGCTCATCACCGGACGCCTTGGCGTGATACCCGCAGCTGCAGGCAACGAGGATCAGCAATGCAACAGCACTGGCACTGGGGGTGGCGGCAGTGGCAGCAACAGCAGCAGCAGCAACACCACAAATAGCCACAACATCAGTATGAGCACAAGAAGCTACAATGCTAGTGGCAGCGGCTCAGTGCACATCCGGGACTGGGTGAGTGACTGGCTGTCTCTTTCCCTGTCTCTCTTCATGCCCCTGCACAATACACGTCACCACCACGCCATGCCACGCCACGCCACCACCAGCGTGTTCGCCTCTATGGATCCTGAACAAACATGCTGCATCATCTGCTCCCTTATTCCTTCTATTCCCGCCCCAACATGTCCAACAATCCCATCCTTGTGCAGGCACAGCACCTGGTGTCTCGCAACACAACAGCCCAGCTTCGCGCCGCCCACCTGCCCGACGCACCCAACGCCATCGTGCTGCCCATGGTGCGCCTCGCCCTCTCCTGCATCGCTTCCGACCCGCTCTCCCGCCCAACAGTCACCGACCTGCTCCGCTCCATCAAGGCCCTCAAGCGCTCCCTCTCCGCCCACCCGTGCCCACCTGTGCCTGGCAACGCAGGGGCGAGCAGGGATGGTGAGACCCATGGTGCTGCCGGCGGTGGGGGGACTGGAGAGAAGCAGGGTGGGGAGGGTGGGGATGGGCTTTCTGGGGGGTTTAGTCAAAATGTGCTAGATGCAAAGTTAGACTGGCTTGTGGAGGAAGAGGATAGTGGTAGGTTTGTGACAGATGTGTACCCACAGTGCGAGAAAAATAACAGATGGTATTTACCATCAATAAAAGCTGGGGTAATCTCAAGTGTGGCATGTTTCGACTGGTTCTTCTTGATGTCTGCATTCGAGTGTGAATGGTACTGCATTGCCAATCAAATCCTGATTTAACATTGATTCTACAGCATGCTGAGCAAAGGCTTCACCGTTTACATTATATAAAGGTTGCTACATCAAGACAGCACCTAAAGCAATTGGGTGTCATGTTGCTACTTTCAAACTAATCCCACAGCGCTCAAGCCTGGAGCCATCCGTCAGGAGCGCTCAAGCCTGGAGCCATCCGCCAGGAGCGCCCAATCCTGGAGCCATCTGTCAGGAGCGCTCAATCCTGGAGCCATCCGTCGGGAGTGCTCAAGCCTGGAGCCATCTGTCAGGAGCGCTCAAGCCTGAGCCATCCGTCAGGAGCGCTCAAGCCTGGAGCCATCCGTCAGGAGCGCTCAAGCCTAGAGCCATCCGTCAGAAGCGCTCAAGCCTGGAGCCATCCGCCAGGAGCGCTCAAGCCTGGAGCCATCCGTCAGGAGCGCTCAAGCCTGGAGCCATCCGTCAGGAGCGCTCGAGCCTGGAGCCATCCGTCAGGAGCGCTCGAGCATGGAGCCATCCGTCAGGAGGCCATCCGTCGGGAGCGCTCAAGCCTGGAGCCATCCGTCAGAAGCGCTCAAGCCTGGAGCTATCCGCCAGGAGCGCTCAAGCCTGGAGCCATCCGCCAGGAGCGCTCAAGCCTGGAGCCATCCGTCAGGAGCGCTCAAGCCTGGAGCCATCCATCAGGAGCGCTAAAGCCTGGAGCCATTTGTCAGTAGCGCTCAAGCCTGGAGAAATGGATGAAGCACCGCATTGTGAGCAGAGAAGCACAACAGCTTCCCCTCATCCCCTCCATCCGTCAACCACCCACACTCCCACGAACACCCTGATGTGAAGCAGGGCGCAAAAAAGGGTAAGAGCCAACGTGTTTCCCCATCCACACCGCACCCATCCCACCTCTCCACAACCCCGCATTCGCTACTCTCTGCGTGTTGCTGTGCTCCGCCGCGTACCTGCGTTCCATCCCATCCCCCCATCTCATAGTGCAATCCATTCACTTTTCAACCCATCATTTTTTATCTCTCGTGTTGGGCAGCCCTACATTTTGACTAACACGAGTCGCGAAACCAGGCCAAAACAGGAAATACAGGCTCGGCAGAGAATAAAGTACCTCAACAAACCATAACGGCATCCAAACATGTGCTCGGCCTTGCTTCCTCGAGGTTCTTGTCAAGTTATCCACACCTTCTGTAAGGAGAATTCACTTTCCTTACCTGGCGTCCGGGCTTACCGCGTACTTTACTGTTCCCGCCTTAGTACCCAAACATTTAACCGTTACCACTGCGCGACACTCGCCTCGACTACTGTTCCCACCACAGTTCCCATCGCATCCCAACCTCACGGCTCAGCTGGTAACCCGCGCTCCAGCCCTCCGCCTCGACAATTCCCAACCTCGGCGACAGGCTCGTTATTGTTACCACGCTAGTTCGTTATTTAACATTCGCTGATTCCTTCGCTCAATAGGCTTTTGTTCTTCGATAGTGCAATCTTTGTTCGCTCACTCAATTGCATTCGTAACACATGGTATTCAGAGCCTCGACCCTTTTCGGACCGCGCCCACACCTTCGCTTCCCAAATTATCAAAATTTTGTGGGGGGGGGATAGACGTCCCTCAGCGACAAAGCACCGCTGATCGCGTGCTCTCTCGTAAGCACACACAGCCACGATAGGGGCTCTCGCTGAGCTTGCCCGACGCCCCCGCCATGGACGAATCCGGCCGCTTTCCGCTCGCGACTTTGACGCAATAGCATCTCGACAAGCTTATGCGTCAGCTAGAGGAATCTACACTTGAAATCGCGACACTTACCGCAAAGCGTGATTCCGCACGACAGCAATCAACAGCAAATGCACCAGCACCGGCACCTGCTAATGCACCAGCACAAACTGAAGAACCAGTTGTCATTTTATTCGGAACGCCATCGCAACACGACAGCGTGGGACAGCGCTCATGCGCAATGGCGCCGCCCAATCCATGACGGGCATGGAGCGATCCAGGGAAGCACCAGTCGTAAACAGACCTCGAGAAGCCCGTCGTCACGTCAGAATTGCGGCACCTGCCGGCAACAACGACATTTGTAAGCCAATGCCACTCAAGCCGCAGCGCCTGCCCTGTTTTGATCCCAGCCAGCGTGGAGGTCCGACGGTTCAATCGTGGATTTTCACGATGAACGTATTTTTTTTACGCGAACTACATCACGTCGGATGCAGCAAAGATCCGGTACGCCGTTTCCTTGCTGCGCATGCCCCCCATGGACTGGTGGTGAGCCATCGTAACGTCGCCGAGCGTCTATGAGCCACTGACGCAAGGGGAAAGGCCCTCGGGGCCGGCTCTGACCTGGAGTTCGTTCTGCGAAGTCCACCAATACCGCACGTGGGACGCGTGGTATACAGAGCTACGGGCGCACTTCGATCTCAACAATCCAGAGGTTGCGCTCTTGGCAGCAGCTTCGGTCGGTTCAAGTCTACTCCAACAGTTTTCTCGCACTATGCGAACAGGTCGGCAACATGTACGAAGCGGAGCGAGTGGATCGCTATGTCGGTGGCTTGAAGCCAGAAATCGTGCAGGAAACTTTCCTACGCGACATTTCGAACTTCAACGAATTTCTGGCGCTCGCCGAGAAAATCGATATTCTACGACGACCGAGGTCCTACCACTACGGATAACGCATTCGTGGAACGGTTCACGCCGTTGCGACGAACGCAGCTGCCGCGCCATTTAAGGGGCGCTGCTTCGCGTGCAACAGGCCGGGTTATTGCAAGAGCGAATGCCCAGAGGAGCTAAGACGACCGTGGAGCATAGCAGGGGAGGGAGTCTGGAAGCCAGCGAAACGCCAGCAGACAATAGAGTATATGCCCACTACTGACGAGACTCACTGCTCGCCTGACCCCACAGACCCTCACCGAGTGACTGTACCGATTCATGCAATCGATCGGGGTGGACTGAATAAGGAGGGTACAACGACAGATTGCCCAGTACTGATTCTCGAGAAAATACATGAGCAGTTAATTTTTTTATTGACGGAGGAGCTAGCCACAACTTAGGTAATACTGCAACCGCGAGGAAACTGCAACTGGCACTTAGTCGCTGCTTACCGGAGATCGACGCACGCTTAGGTTACGGCACATCGCTGACAATACGGGAAAAGGTGGGGAGAGTGAAGATACGTAGTGGGGGTCACTTTGGGTTTACACAAGAAATGCTCGCGACAAAGCTGGATGGGACCGACATTTTATTGGGACGTAATTGGCTGGGACCGTACAACCCGCGAATTGAAATGGAACTGCAATGCGTGAAGCGGCGGTAACTGGGTCGCATTACCTCGCTGGCAGTAGCATGAGTCTTCAACGGTCCACGTCAACGCCGTCACGATGAAACGGGCTGTCGCTTCGGGAGCTGACGTGTACGCTGTGGATATCACAGAGGTAGGATAAGCCGAACGATTTTCTGACACTGCTGGCAGCTGTACTGCCCGAACTACAGGAGTTATTGAAACGGTACCTCGGGATATTTCCCGACGACCTACCGGAGGGACTGCCACCTCAGCGACCGCATGACCACCGCATAGAATTAGAACCGGGGGCACACCAACCCGAGCTAGTTGAATTGAGGAAGCAGTTAGATTACTTATTGGAGAAAAAAAATCATCCGACCGAGTTCGTCGCCGTTCGCCGCAGCGATACTCTTCACACCGAAAAAAGACGAAGGGTTTTGCATGTGTATCAATTACCGTGCACTGAACAGGGTAACAATCAAGTCACGATATCCCATTCCCCGCGCCGACGATCTGATTGACCAACTGCAAACAGCCAGGGTTTTTTTTTTCCGAAATTTGATTTACACCATATTCGAGTCGAACCCACAGACTGTGCCAAAACAGCCTTTAGAACTAGGTACGGGTCCTTTGAGTACACGGTGATGCCATTGGGGCTGACGAACGTGCCCACAACATTTCAAATAACGATGAACGAGGCGTTTACGCCGCTTCTAGATAAATGCATCATCGTTTACCTCGACGATGATTACAGTCGCGACAAGCAGAAGCACTTAGCCGATTTAGAACCAGTATTTAAAAACTTGGACGAGCATCGGCTGCTGACGAAGGGTTCCAAGTGCGAGTTTTTTCAGGACCGCTTAGAATTTCTGGGGCATGTCATCTCGGAAGCAGGAGTTGAAATAGACCCGGAAAAAGTTGGATACTGTCAAAGCGTGTCATCCCCTGAAGAATATCACGGAGCTGCAGAGTTGTTTGGGGTTTGTTAATTATGTGCGTCGGTTCGTTGGCACGGTTAACGGCCCCACTGATAGAGTTATTGCGGAAGGGGGTTGCTTTTACGTGGGGGGAGAAAGAGCATGCTGCCTTCTTTGCCCTGAAAAACGCTCTCTGTTCACCGCCCGTGCTACGCACCGCCGACCCACACCGCCCGTTCGAAGTGGTTACCGACGCCAGCGACATCGCCATTGGAGCCGTACTGCTACAGGATCTCAACAATGGCCTACAACCTATTGCATACGAGTCACAAAAGCTGCATCCACCAGAGAAAATTTACCCGATACACGACCGCGAAATGCTCGCGATCGTGCACGCATTTAAAGTGCGGCGCTGCTACTTGACCGGCGCAGACGTGATAGTAAGGACATATCACCGATCACTAAAGTACCTCCGTGCTCAACCTCACCTCAACTCAAGACATATTTATTGGCTCGATTTCCTCTAGTCATATTTTCACCAGACGGTCTCCTACAAAAAGGGTGCCTCCAACATCGCCGATGCACTGTCCTGCCTGACTACACTGATCCACGCGATACTACTCGCCCAAACCAGCCCATTACTCACAGGACTATTTACCCACTGCTACCAGACAGACCCACTCTTCACTGGAGGCAACTCGTAGTCGTTTGCAGTAACAGGAGGGGTGTATTACGTAAAATCTGGCACCGATCCCGTCTAGTTACCGGGCTACTCCCTACTGCGGGAATTACTGCTACAGGAGGCACATGACGGAATCACCTCGGGACATTTCAGGGTCGAAAAGACGCGACAGCTGCTGGAGCGCTATTACTACTGGCCCGAAATGCTGACCGACGTGCAACGACATGCGGCATCGTGTCCCACCTGCCAACTCATGAAGTCGTTACGACAACGACCGGCGGGACAGTTGCAGACGATACCACCCCCAGAGCGTGCTTGGCAGCAGGTGACGATGGACTTCATCACGGGGTTACTGGCTAGGGCGAGTGGGAATGATGCGATCGTGGTCTTCGTCGATCAGCTAACAAAAATGGCCCATTTTGCAGCATGTAAGAAGTCAATCTCAGCCGGAGAAACAGCCTGCCTCTTCATTGCCACCGTCGTTCGACTACACGGGATAGTCGCGGCGATCATCAGCGACAGCGACACAAAATTCTCCTGTAAAATCTGGCGGAACCAGTGGCAGCAGTTCGGCACACGACTACAGTTTAGCTCATCGTACCACCCCAAAACCGACGGTCAAACGGAGCGGACCAATCAGACCATGGAGTAGCTATTTCGAGCCACGACCCGACAACTTGGGAGCAGCAGTTGCCACTCATCGAATTCGCATACAATAACTCCACGTCAGCAACCATGTAGCACTCACTGTTCTACCTCAACTACGGACAAAACCCCAGTGTACCCATGACGCCGAATCCCGACAACCCGGTCCCACGTGCGCAGTAGTTTGCAAAAATAATACAAGTAGCACGGACCCAAGCAGCAGACGCCATATAAAAATCAAACGCCATCGCTAAACGCAACGCCGATCGCCACCGCAGCCCCGTCACTTATCAGCCCGGCGACCGCGTATTACTCGACA